TATATATATATATATATAGATATATAGATGGTCATAATTCATATAATTATTGTTTAGAAAATAACCTCATTTTTATGCTATTATAATAATAGACCAATCACACCCCTCAAATTAATGAAAAACTAGGTACACACCCCTCAAATTAGTGAAAATTTAACACCTAAAAAATGAATTATTGAGTTGTATATTTAATGTGTTGAGAAATTAGGGCGAAGAAAAAAAAAGAATCGACACAAATCCAGAAGAGACACAAATCCAGAAGAACACCCAGAAGAACACACAGAGATTTAACGAGGTTCAACAATGATGCCTACGTCCTCGGAAGCAGAGCGGCTACTTTCTTCAATATTCAGAAAAGAATACAGGATACAATAATATGGGGGTAAGACCTAAAGTTACATATAAGCCTATGTATAACCCTAGAAAACCCTGAAGTACAATATGTAATTACCAAATTACCCATGTACCTCACCTCCCAACTTACATAAGGAAACACCTCGATTTGAACAGATTCTTCTACCCCGCTCCGCTTCGTTCCAGCATTTGTCCCTTATATGGTATATGAGTCATACCATAACATGCTATAATCTAACAAAAATAAAAATAAATAATTTTTTTTAATATATAATATTATTCTTAGAAGTCTAACTAAATAATAAAATTTAAAATATATTTTAAAATTGCCATATAAGAGCTAATTCAATCTCAAAATTTAACTCAACTCAAATAAATTCTGAATATTTATGTTAAAAAATTTGTTTAAATAAAGATTAGGGTATCATGTTATTTATTTCATAAATGAATTACAATTTCAATTTTCGCGGTTACAAATTTGAAAATGCTTTTGTCATACATAATTTGTAAAATATAAAAGATTTGCATAATATATTATTCTTGTGAGCTTATGTGTCCAATATTTAAATTTTGATATTTATATATGCAATATTTTAATATTATTTATATTGAGATAATATTAAATGATAATGACATGATTAATCAACGCTTATATAATATGAATATTAAGCATTATAAATTATCACATATTTTATCTTTTAACAAATTTTAATAAACAAATTAAAAGCATAAACGTCAATTTCAAAAGGTATTGAGAATATTTGAACTAATATTAATTTATGCCCCTGCTTTAAAAAAAGATTTTTTCTTTTTTGACCTTGTTCACTGTTTACTGACATAAATTTTTATTCAAATAAAACATAGTTTTTATGTTTAAAAACAAATTTAAGAAATTAAAATAAAAGAATAATAATTTTGTTCGCGATAATATAAGAATCTAATGTTTTTTTCTACAATATTTTTCTCTCTCATCTCCCTCATTTCAACGAAAAATTATTGCATCTGGACTTCACACAGAGAGCTTCGTGCGGAGTCCAATGAAATCAAGCCACGTGGAGGTACAGAAAACATAAAAAAAAATCGATCAAATAACACAAGAGAATATTACTCCCGTGTTATTCCGTATTATTCAAGTGTTATTGTGTTATGAGAATATTCTCAGTCTTATAATAACACAATAACACATTAATAATATTTGAATAACACACAATAATACTTAAGTAACACAAAATAACATCTGAATAATACATGCAGAATATTTCATCGTGTTACCGAATAAATTTTATTTTTTTTTCGTGTCACTGTCACGTGGCGTAGTTTCATTGACAATATCTTCTCCATTTCAACTAGGGGTGTAAACGAGCCGAACACGAGCTCAATTAGTGTGTTCGTGTTCGGCTCTTTTACTTAGCGAGCCGAACACGAGCTTCATGAACAAAGAGTTATTTTGACAACTTTAATCACATAGCCATAAGATGTTAAGGGTTGGGGCAAGATTTTAAAATTATTGTTTATATTTAAACATTATTTGAATCTAATTTAATAGTTTTTATTCTATTTTCTTAATTAATACTTTTAATTGATTATAAATCTCTATAGTCTTGTAGTCAATTAATTTTTTATAAAAATACTACTCATCAATTATATATATATATATATATAATATATTAGTAGTATTTCGAGCCAGAACTTGATGAGTAGTATTTCGTGCCAAAACGAGCCGAACAGGAATGAACAAATTTTTATTCATGCTTAACTCATTAACTTAACGAACGAGCCGAAGACAAACATCTTAACGAGTCAAACACGAACTGTTTTGACAACACTAATTTCAACTCATGTAGAGAGTACTAATACAATAATTTCTCCATTCAAACTCCAGCACAGAGAATATCAAGAATATCACTTCCAAGTTCCGAATTCCCACCATATCACCATTACGTGCCGCGCAATCCTCTTGCTACATGGAAGGAACTCCCGCGAAAGGGCAACTACATCAACCCGCCTCGCCGGCGAAGACCTCGGATGAAACACAAGAAGAAGAGAAACCGGAAGCTGAGGCTCGCCGACTCAAATCCCTAGCAGAGCAAAAGCTCAAGTTTTCTTCCCTCAAATCTGCTCTCAAGTATGCAAGACGAGCTCAACATTTATGGCCTGAACTCGACGGCATCTCAGCCATGGTCATGGCCCTCAAGATCCTCCGCACTTTCCCCACTGACCACTATCAGATTCTTCGCGTAGAACCTTTTTCCCATATAAACGCCATTAAGAAGCAGTACAAAGCCCTCGCCCTCGTTCTCCACCCAGACAAGGTTAGATCCCTTGCTCCTGCAGCTGAAGACGCCTTCAAGCGCGTCGCCGACTCCTTTCGCTTTCTCTCCGATCGCGCCCGCAAGAGGGATTACGACACCAGCCTCCGCCTCGCACTTGCTGATTCTAGTAGTCACCGGCCAGTGGAGACGTTCTGGACCGCGTGCTTGACCTGCCGCCTCTTGCATGAGTTCAATCGCCGGCACATTGGGTACCGCCTGGTTTGCCCTAACTGTCGCAAGAGCTTTCTTGCTGTGGAGGTGCCATCGGATGTTAGTGGTGTGGACAAGGAAGAAGTGGAAGCCATGGTTAGGCCTAGAGTTACAGCTGCTCGGTCCAGGACGAAGCCAAGGCCTAGGGTCCCGACTGGGTGGGAGACCCCTGATAGAAAGATAAAGCCGGTTGTTTCTTCCTTCCCTTGTTTAAAGAGTTGTGATCAGAATAAGGAGAAAACATTGGCGGAGATGCAACTGGAACTTATAAAGGCTAAGGATAAAGGAAAAACGAAGGTGGAGGAGGACACGAGCCTCATGGCCGTGGAGGATTCCGACTTCTATGATTTTGACAATGACAGGACTGAGAAGTGTTTCGCCAAGGGTCAAATTTGGGCAATCTATGATGATGATGATGGGATGCCAAGGCATTATGGACTTATTGATGAGGTTGTTTCTTCCAGCCCATTTAGAGTAAAAATGTGCTGGTTAGATATACAGGTTGATGGAGATGAGTCGCTGTTGCTTTGGGAGAAATCTGGACGTCACATTTCTTTCGGGAGGTTTAAGATTGGAAGAAAAGTTGAAATAGATTCAGTGAATTTGTTCTCACATATTTTGGATTCTGAGAGGGCGGCGAAGGAGCTTTTTAGGATTTATCCAAAGAAAGGTTCAGTGTGGGCACTTTATGGCGAGACAACTTCTGGGAGAGAGCGGAGGTCATATGATATTGCGTTATTCCTTACTTCCTATAGTGACTTGTTTGGATTGAGCATGGCATACCTTGAGAAAGTTGAAGGTTACAAGACCATATTCAAGAGGAGGCAGATCGGTTTCCATGCGGTTAGATGGCTTAAAAAGGATGATTTTATGCTCTTCTCTCATCAAATTCCAGCGCATAAACTCACAAAAACTGATGGAGTGAATTTCCCTGGAGAGTGCTGGGAACTTGATCCAGCTTCACTTCCTGCTGAAGTTTATTATCATTTTTCTTGCCTACCTATTTGTGGTAGAAAATGTTGTGGAACATGACCAGTTGTATGTTCATGCCACATTGATTCCGGGTATGCTGTATTCTTTTCCAGTTGACTGTTTCTTCTTGCATATGAGAAGAGCTTTCGCTGCCGCATATCAACTATTCTGTTCACAAAAAGCTTTCCAATGTTCATAATATTGATTCATTCAATATGATGTGCGACAGAATATTTTTAGCATTAGAAGTTGAGTTTATGTTCTTAGCATTACATTAGAATCCATCATACTCACATAAAAGTGGATTGTGGGTCACAATGCCACATGGAAAACCTTGAAAGAGACAAATCACGGTGCCTAGTCCAATTCGAATAGTTCTGTGACAGTTGTTTGACGATCTACAACAATTTGCCCTTTTTTTCCGTTGGGAAAAATAATCTTATTACAAAACAATGTGACAGGTATTGGCATTGATTGGCAATGTATTTTGATGATGTTGGATTTTGCCATCATTTGATGGTGGTAGAAATGATCGGTGGACTTCTGTGTTGTTTGATAGCAGTAGATGGCAGGGTTTGATGGGGGAGTCAATAGCGTTTGGCATCAAATGTTAGGTGGTGATAGATAAAGCTCTAGAACTCTTTGAGTCCTATTATTATCATTCCTGGAGTCACTTAAATTGTAAAAGCATGTCATATTTGTTGGTTTCTTGAGGGGATTTTATGGTAATTTCTATTAATCCTGGGAACTCCATCTACCTTTGTAGAGATATCTCTTAAGCAATTTTATGATTCATCTTTTCAAAATGCTCATTTAGATTATGAGAACATCAAAATTAGCAACTTTTGGCCCTTCAAATATTTTTATGAAGTTTTCAAGTATACTTATGAGTGTCTTTCAATCATGATCAATACGTTATTGTTATGTTATGTTTGTTTTGTTGAGTTGCTCACTTTGAATATTATTTTTCTAAAGATAGGGTTTGAATGATCTAGAAATCAATGTTTGAATTCTTTGGGTTTGGATATTTAAATGCTTTGATATCTAAAAATTATATCAAGAATTGTTTTTGATCGAACAAAGTTTTGGTACATAATAATTGTCCCAATTTTTGGACATCCAAATCACCAAATTCAATAATAAGTGGGGATTTAAAAATGTTTAGACGTAAAATCACAACCTCGAAAAAAATATAAGGTTTTGCTAATCCTTGGATGTTAATGTTGGTCTCCCTTTAGGGCTATGAACCTAACAATCCTTATAGATCACAATTAACCCTTTGATGAAGCTAACACATTGCTCGTGATTAAAATGCTAAAATATTTATTCAAAAACTCTTCAAAATTTTATTTAGAGGCGTGATTGTCATCCAAAAAATGCTAGAATTGAGTATGAAATGTTGAAAAGATAATTCTAGTAGACCGGAAAGATCCAAGAGGTTTGCTCAGGATTGGATGTACGCATGTGGGTCTTGTTGTCAGCTAATCATTTGTCATGGTTACCTCTTTGTACACATGTCGGGAGTGGCATGACAAGCTCTTTGAGCACACAAACTATGTGATTTTTGCGAGTAATAAAAAAAAAATCTTTTTAAAATTATTAAAAGAAAATTTTAAGGCTTTAAAAAAAAGAAAAATAGCCCTAAAAATCCCAAATCCTTAAAAATTTTGTAGGGGACTTGGGAAAGATAAAATTTCTCTTCTTCAGGTTTTGATTTTTTTTTTCTAAGAAAAGAAGCCAAAAATTGATTTGTCGAAGACACATTTGAGGGACGAGTTAGTTTCGTAAACCTTGTTGCAAGGCTTTGCCATTACTCTAAAAATATGATTGATTGTCCTCATTTGGGCAAATTAGATCTTAGGAGATTGTTTTGATTCATAATGTTTGCAACAAGTCCCTGGTCTTCATATGAAAATGGGATTGATCGTCTTTGTTTTAATGAATCCAATCTAACGAGGGGCATCTAACATTCATAGTCATTGCAATAAGATTTCTATTTTCCTTTAAGAACGTGTTATTTTTCCTCATTTCAATAGGCAAAGTGTGAAGAGAGGGTTTTGAGGTTTATAATTCATGCAATGTGGTTCCAACCTTTATAAAAAAATGAGATATTTTGCCTTCCTTTTCATGGATTAAATTTGAGGGGAGATGTTGATGGGAACAAACAAGTTTCCACAGAGATTATGACAAAAATAATAGATTCTATTCCACTGGTATCAAATCAAATACAACCCCAAATACATAGATAAACACTTACGATCTCTCCCAAATCCTAACAGTAAGGTTCAAGACAACAATCAAACATGACATAACTCTATACATATTAAGTCATATTTATATTCCACAATAATAACTAATAAATGACTATATTTTCCTTTTAGGTTTGCGTCAAACATAATTTTTCAAACTATTTGTCGAATGACACTGGTCTAAGAGATATCTAAGGCTAGACTCATAATCTATGTAGTGGAATTTCAATCTTTTTTGAAAAAAAAATGTTTATTTTTCTTGAATGGAATATTAGATTTGAGGAAAGGATCACTGTTTTGCTAAAAATAAGATTTTAAAAGGAGAAATCGAGAATCAAGATTTTTTTTCTTTGCGAGGCAAGGCATAAATCTCGAGGAGGATCAACGCATGTAAGCCTCAAAATAAAAAATAAAAAAAAAAAAACATAAAATTAAACATAATTCATATATATGACTTTTGACAAACAACAAATCTTGATCATTTAACTTAGAATTTAATATGCCAATAGACTTAAGTAGTTTACTTAATAACACATGCATATAGTATTCCTCAATCCCAAATTTAAAAGCAAAATCAAAATGATTTAGGAAATAAAAGTATAAAATTCGTTTTTGAGAAGATTGAAAAAAAGATAACCTTGCCTTCAAAACATACACTTGACTCCAAAAAATAAATGATAATTAAAGGTTTTAAAATTTTGAAATTATCAAGAAATCTGAGGAAAAAATCTGATTCACACCACAAAAATGAAATCGATATGCACAAATTTGTCAAAATCATAACACCACACACAAATAATTTAGCAAATAAAAGGATAAAATTCACCAATCATTGAGAATTTGTTAAAATTGAAAAATTGGGTTTTGGATTTTATGTTGATATTTGATATTTAAAAAAATGGACGAAATAGGCTGCTTGTTTTGTAAATAGGGATGTCTCGACTGCTATGTATGTAAATGTCCCAAAAATATTAAAATTGAACGCTCACAGACTCACAGTAAAGGAAAAATATAAGAGGGCTTATGAGAACTCAGGAAGATAGCTGCTATGACAAAATGGCAGAACCACAAAAGAGAAGAGGAAGCCGTTGGACTCCTCTATGTTGAAATTCAACACTGGCTTCACTTCTGGATTTCACAATGGCTTTGGACTTCGACGCTCGAATGCGCGGGACAAAAAAGGACTTCCATGCTCACACTCACGATGACTGTTGAAGGAAGTGGAAGAAGCTACAAAGCTCTTAGAATGACCACCAACCCTAAATCCGCAATATGGCTGCTCCGTGAAGGATAGAGGTATTAAAACCTAATTTTAATTTGAGTGGTACATCAACCGATTTGAGGTGTTACCCATCGAGGCGTACACCTCCCTACAGAAAGGCATAAGCCGTGCCCGCACTAGCAAAGCTTATGCTTTGATTTGCTGAAGCAGCACCTCTAATTGAGGCGCACCTCGAGGCGGACGGCTCATGATTGCATGCTTAAAGAAATTATTACAGGTTGTATGCTTACAGAAATTGAATGAGATTTTTTGTGGATGCTCTTCTGGAAGTTTTTTTTTTTTTAAAGAATTTATTACAAACTATTTTTCTCTAAAAGTTTTCTAAATAGTAAGCAATTTTTGCTAGAAAAAAAAAAAAAAAAAAACTATTTAAAAATCAAATGTGCAAATCTTTTTAAGTTCTTATTGTTTTTGGAAAAAGAGCTTTTTGATATTCTTATTTCCATAATTTTCTATGACTTTGAACTTACATTTTCTGCTAGGGTCTCATGTCTTCCACTTAATGGATCAGGGTGGAAGGAGTCACGTCACATGTCTTTTGAGAGGTAGAAATATATTATTTCAACTTTTTTCTTGAACATAGATTTCTTGATTTTTTTTTTTTTTCGTATATATTTTTATAAGTTGATGGGGTCGAGGAAGGTGAGCACTGTGTTTACGGTTGACAATTTCATGTCTAATATCACCAGTGATTCCATGAAGGTATTCGGTAAGAAGTCCTCTTTTCTAATGATATGCTGGCCCTTGTCTTTGCATGTTTTGATCCATCATACTTGCCCATCAAGATATATCATAGTATATGAAATGAACCTACATGATGGCTTGCATTTCCTCGTAGATACCAAATTGATTGAGATTTGCACAACATACATGGTTATTTGGATTACCTTAATCTTAATGCAGAGTTACGTTGTTTGAGTTCATCATCAGTCTTCTTTAAGTAACATGGGGAATTATAAAAAAAAAATGTAACACTGAAAATTATAAGAGCTGCATTGTTACGGCAGATATCGAAGGTTCTTAACATCCTAAATATGAAGCCTTTTATTCGAGCTGCATTGTTACGGCAGATCTTTTCATCTGCATAACTTTCATTGAACAAGTCTAGCATAAATTGTCGGTCAAGTCCCCCAGCTCTCGAGGTTTGCCCAAGTGGACTTTGAAGGATTGTGAGAAAGGTGAATCTTCATTCCCATTGAATAATAATGTGGATGGTGATATGATTGTTTCGTGCAATATAGATTGTGAGAAGTATGTTTATCCTCTTATGGAGAAACAAAGTAATCCGATTGCTATATTGAACGGTAATGGCGGGATGTAATCTTTAGGGACTGATTCAAACCATGTCCATATTGGACACTAATGATAGATTTGTTGATAAATGAATCTTACATTATTTCTCTGCGCTCTTCTATTTTTATTTCAATTTAAGACCCCTTTTTCTCATATATCATGATAGATGGGAACTGAGGCACACTTGGATGGTATATCGATGGACGGAAATAAGGCTTTTTGGAGAATATAGTATT